TGGTGTTATACCATCACTGGGTGATGTTTGTTCCTTAAAACAACCTCCCATTGCTACGCCAAAATACTCTCCTTTAGAATGAGCTTCCGAACTCAAGGTGACACAGCTGTGCTGGGCTCTAACTTAAGCTGGAAGTATATTGTCTCTGAAAAACTTCACACCCAGTTTTCTTGACGGACTACACCTAGTGAGATTTCCTCACTTTCGGTGGCTGAGTGGAGGGAGTAAATGAGTTAATTGGAGTGGGCATGGGTGTTCTCTCTTAAGAATGCACGATGTGTATGTTTTCCTGCCCACCCTCATGTCCATTCTGCTCTGGTTGAGACAAATGACCTGACTTGATATTTCTTGTGTTACTCATGACCTTCCTTCTTTCTTCGGTCCCTCCCTCCCCTCCCCCACCTGTTGAAAAAACACATTTGCTTGAATGTTGCCACACCCACCCAAGAAGGCTACAAGTTTAAACTTCTCCAGTTCTGGAATGAAAGACCTTTGTAGGAAGGCAATGCAGCTGTGCAGAAGCAATTTAAAACCGGTCCCACCAGTGCAGCAAGGAGAGCAATTCACAGCCCTCCCTCAGATGTGTCTCCAAGTGTGACAGATACAAACAGCCCAGTGGCCTTCAAAGGTCAATTTAGTCAAACCAGTGGGAGAGGGGTGAGGCGGGCAGGAGTGTGAGGGGGGGAGGGGGGAAGAGGGGGAAGGGGCGGGAAGGCTGATACCAGCAGGTACCTTGAGGCCTGCTGACACATGAATGTTATATCCTGGAGAAACTGTATAAGTGAGAGATAAAAATACTTCCTGTTAAAAGGAGGAGCATTGGCCAAAGGAATGGCTTGAGAAACTAAATTAGAAAAAAACCCCTTACTTATTATGAAATTCCATTTAAAATCATTCTAAAAATTAACAGTGTGGAATATTAAGTCTTAGAAATTTAACATGCCTCATAGACACTAGGAATAAAGTTTCAAAGAAACTTACGATAACATATCCCTACTGACTTTGAATTGCCATGTTTATGAATGTGGCTATGTGAATTAAAACAGAGTTATCTGGAAATTATAAAACAAGCTGTTTAAAACAAGAGAAAGAATGGAAGTGGAGTAATGGAGTGGGGGAGTGAGGTGATGGGATTGTATGAAAAAGATTTTTTTCAATAAAGAAATAGAGAGATTGTAAAACAAATAAACAAAAACAATAGCCTCTGCCATGAGAAAAAGTACTGATCTACAAATACAGTAAGAGTTCACCCAAGAGTTGGAGCAGTTAAGGGATGTCTATTTTTCTTATTTATTACGTTTACACTTGGGAGGAGAGAAAGACTATAGGAATAAGGAGTCTCAAAAGAAACACTGAATTAATAACCAAGATTTGATGGTTCTGATACTGTTACAGCCATTCATTTCACTCCTAAATATATACTTCACTTCATAGCTTTTATTTCTCCCAATTCTGAGGATTGAACCCAGGCCCTTGTACATTGGAGGCAAGCATTCTATAACTAAACTCTCTTATATGAATGCTTAAGAAAAATAAAAGAGCCAGAGAAATGGCCACAGGGAAAGGCACTTGCTGACAAGCCTTACTACCTGAATTCAATCCCCTGGTCCTGCACGATGCAGTAAGACAATTCCTAGAAGCTGTTGTCCAACCTCCACACTCACGCCTTAGCATGTGCCTAACCACCACCCACTACATGCACTAAACAATAAATCTGACAATTACACAGACCCTAGAAACTGCTCTAAAATGAAATTTTAAAGAAAAACCATAATAAGAAAGTGAAAGTTCCCCTTTAGAAAAATCTGGATACAGATGTTCAGAGCAGCATTGTCTTCAACAGTCCAAAGGGGAACCAAGTCAAACATTTACCAACTGGTGACAGTATGGAATATTACAAGTCCCCATGATGGAATATTTTTCTGTCAAGAAGAAAAATGTTAAAGTGTGTTATAAAATGTATAAACCTTGACATTTTAATACATGAAAAATGCTACAAAAAAATAACCTATTACCTGGCTCTATTTATATAGAGTCCAGAGGGGGCACATTTAGAGAGACAGGAAGTAGACTTGTGTTTGGACACATTTGGAAGGACAGGCGATAGGGAGTGACTATCAGTGACTAGGAGGATGTTCTGGGAATAGTGACAATGTGTTAAACTTAGATTATAATGATGACCACAAAATTCTGTGAATACTCAAAGTATTCACTTCAGTCTTTCAGCAGCCAAATGTTATTATACACAAATTATATCTCAATAACGATGTTTTAAGGGAAGCTGATTGTATTTTTAAAAATGAGTCGAGATTCTAGATCTAACTAAAATTGAACATAACTCAAATTGGATTAGACTACTAATCTTGAGTGAACCTCTAGAAATAGTTGAGGGCCAGGTAAAAATCATTCACGTATGTAAGCCCAAGACAGGGAAACATGTGAATAGGCAGATTGTGTTCAATAACAAAAACAATCTCTATGATAAGTTAAAGATGATCTCAGAAAATCAAGTTCTAGAAACCAGAAACTCGCACACAGCTTCCTATGAAATAGCAGCCCAGAGCATGTTAACAGCTGCGTGAACTATGACTCACTTGCTCACTGATCTCTGTGAGAACCTAGCTGCTGTCAAAGCAAACAGAGAAAAACTGCACACAGGTTGGTTCCACATTCTTATTCCACAGAATTCAGGTGCCAAAGGGGACAGTTTCCAGTGACAAAATGTCAGGTCTATGTTAATCAGCCTCAGATGTACCACAAGATCTCTAATGACCTCCAGTGGTAACAACTGAAACTGCTTGGTTTATGGTCCCTGAGACTAGAATGCACTGTACAATGTGATAATGGATGTGAATGAGGTTTGGCCTGTTATTTATTTTTTTCTAGAAGGCAGGAAAGAAGGACAAAAGGAATCACAGAAAATGACTACAGTGAAATGTGCTTCCTCCAGATCTTCAGGCCCTCACTGAGGAGCCTCTACAGGGCTGCAGAGATGTTCAGTGTTAAGAGCACATACAGCTCTTCCAGAATCTGAGTTCAGTTCCTAGCACCCACACTGTCCAGCAGCTTACAAGCACCTGTACCTTCATCTGTGGGAGACTGGACATTCTCTTCAAGCCTCACAGACACCCCCACCATAGACATACACACATAAGAATAAGAAAAGAAATATTCTTTTTTTTAAAAAAAAATCTTCACAATTTTGGACCCTGAAGGGGATAGGAACTACACAGGAAGATCAATACAATCAACTAACCTGGACCCTTGGGGCTCTCAGAGACTGAGCAACCAAGCAAAGAACTTTCGTGGGCTGGACCTAGGGCTCCTGCACATAGGTAGCAGATGTGCAGCTTGGTCTTCATGTGGATTTGGAACAACTGGAATGGGGGCTCTCCCAGAAGCTGTTACCTGTATGTGGGGTATGTTCTACTAGCTGGGCTGCCTTGTCTGGCCTCAATGGGAGAGGAAATGCCTAGTCTCACAGAGACTTGAAGTGCCATGGTAAGGGGATATAGAGGTCACCAATTCAGAGGAGAAGGAGAGGGGGTATAGGGGATGGATTGTGGAAGGGGTGACTGAGAAGGGGGCAGTGAGCAGGTTGTAAAGTGAATAAGGGGAAAAATTAAATTAAATTTAAAAAAGAAAGAGTTTTCACAATTCCTTCAACCCAGAGAGCTGTTTTCTTCCAGTGTACCCCACCAGGAAGCCTCAGTGAACAATCTACTGTGAACCCACAGATGTGGGAGTGAGAGGCCAGTGTAGAAGAGAAACAGAGCAAAACAAAACTCATCTGAATGTGGTGGGCAGAGAAAGGTGGGAGGAATGGCAGAAGGCAATTTTTGAAGTAAGAACCAGTTTGACTACACCTACCTCTTGAAGATTTATGAACATTGTATAAGAAATTGAAGGTTAGCCCCTCTTTGAGCTCATAGTGAAAGCAGCTAACTCTAACAGGCTGTGAATCATACCCAGAGCTTCACTAAACAAACAGGAAATAAGCCACTTCCTAGAGTCCCCTCTGCAGATGTTACAGAGTTTCAGCTCTCTGCCCATTGGTTAGTGAGCAGTTAATAATCAGTCTGTGGACAAAGGACTACATCTCAGAAATGCCATTCTGTTATGATTGTTGGCTGAAGACACAAATGATTACCCTAGACAGACAAGGTAACCTCTTTGGAGATGAATCCAGCAAAACTATTCTTACAGGAGCTGCTACTGTCCAGCTAGGTTCTCCAGTCAGGCCAAGAAACACTGAAGGACTTTCTAGAATATTCTGGTTACACACACATCTTGAATACCTCCAATTTCACTCACATGAGTCCATTTCTAACACTTAGCTGGCTATTTAATAAGCTACTGGCTGCTCCAGTTGTCTCCTGAGTCTGATGTTTGCTCTGCTCACTGGAAAGTATCTGAGAGTAGCTGGAGCATTGTGACTTCCCAATTAGAGAAAATAATCTCTAGAGTAGTAATTCCAGATCAGAACATTAGCTGCCCTGGCTGTGATTTCTACTAACAAATACCACACTGTCTATGCCAAAGGTCAACAGAGGAATAGAAACTGGAGTCAACCTGTGGGATACTATGTCTTGTCATAATCCTGAAGGCCTCTAGTATTGCCCTAATACCTTTATGTTTTATCAGTTCCATCCAGTATTTAACAATAATTTATGAAATGTCTATTTATGTGACAGATATTCATCTGGCATTTATTGTCTGTCTGATAGCTCCAAGGAGAATTCAGTAGACCGAGAGAATAGAGCAAGCCACTGAAGTGTTTGTAGAAATGAAACAGCCTCCCCATGGTATGAGGTTGTTAAGTCTCCAAGGCTCTGTTTCAGACTGGGGGAGGAAGCAGGAATCTGTTCATAAGCCCTAAAATAAGAATTGCCTCCATTTTTACAGGATGGGGGGAGAGAAAACTCCTTAAGGATTATATAAACATGTTACCATATTTTGGTGTCATTAAAAATCAATAATTACACTATGCTATTTTTTACCTTAATTGTGATTTTGAGCATTGTGAAAGAATCACGAATAAGAATTCCTGCCGTTGCTTGTTGGTCCAGAGGTCAAACCAGTGACTTATGAGAGTAACTCTTTCTTGAAAGAGCTGGAAGAGAGGAAAATGAGATTTCCCTGTCCACTTCCAGTTCTCAGTTGCTAAGCAATAGGTCAAATAACAACCTCATAGCTAATATTTACGTTATGCATGACAGTTTACATGTACTTTCACATAGGCTGTAGGGTTTTTCCTTTCAGCTTAAAGCACTTTTATTTAGCAACACAGGCAAGCCAGGGCTTGTTGGGTGGGCCAGTGGGAAAATCTCAGGGCTGTATAATTACAGGGGAGCTGAGGGGATCCTCTGGAAAACAGAGGACAATGATGGGATTCACGCCTCCTGTTTTTACCTAGGTTAGTGTGGCCTAGGGCCAGAGTCTTAGAGTCCATCCTGTCTACAGGCCCCACTCACTGTCTCATCATGGAAACAGGACCATTTAGTATAGATTTGGTTTTCTTTACTCTTGGCTTTGGAGATTCATAATATCCACAAAACTAAAGATTGGTCATTATTGCACACTGTCATTGTTAGCTGTGTCTCCAGGGAGGATATATACCATGAACCAACATCCCTGAAATCTGGATTTCAGCTTGTTTTTGTTTATACAAAGACACAAATTCATTGTCTTTATTGTAGATCAGTGCCCCCCCCCTCCAGCTACATCCACCTCTTCCCATTATGGAAGCAGCTGAACCTACAGGAGCTCTGTCTCCATTAAAAGCTGGTGAGATTGCTCTACCGTTCTAGGAATTCTTCCTGAATCATTTTTCTAAAGAGCAGGTGCTACATAAAATCACACAATGGACACACAATGGAAGAGTGGATTAACAAAACACAGAAACATACATGAAGTACCCCTGCCTCCTCTCCAAACCTTTCTCTACACCCTCCGACCACCACAGAAGCTCATGATGTCCTGGAGGTGCACCGTGAAAGCAGGAAGCACACGTAGTCCCTCTCCCAGGTAACAGAAAAAGTCTTGGGTGAGAAAACACTCTCTTTGCAACAAAGCCAGGTTCATTTTTTAAAAAAGGACTTGAAAACTAAATTATTTTTCGTATAAATGCGACAATGTTAAGACTCAACATATCCCAGTAAAAACGACTTTACTCAGTTGAACTCATGTTTACTGTAGAGTATGCAACTCACCTGTCTGTTTAAGGACTGGTTCTTAAAAGGAGTCCAAGCACTGAACCTCGTGTGGTAGCTCTCCATTTCCAGACTTTCCAGGGGAAGGTTCCCAAGTGACATCTCAGCAAATTACTTTCTTCCACCTCTAGGAACTATTGGTTCAATTTAACAGATGTATGGCTAAGAACACTTAGAAACAACCACAATATTAATTATTTTCTGCGTAGGAATTATAAAACTACCATATCCATTAATATATAGGTAAAGCATAGCATACACAGAATTACAATTTAGGTATATATATGCATACATATGGAGGGCAGTGAACCTTGCCAGGAAACTTGGTAAGGCTGAGTGGTTTCAGAAACCCTGGCACTCACCTGAATACCGATACAGTTTCCTTACTCCCGACCAAATTCCTAGCCTGGAACAAGTTTTCACAACTCCTCACAGAAGAAGAACATAACCACTGGTCACTTAGCACAGCACAGAGTTCTCCATGCTAATGAGGTATCAAGATGGACCCTGCAAGTTTAGTCAAATCCCTTCTCGGACATTCCTTCCTGCACAAGGTAGTAATCTCTGGTCCACCCTGAGGAAGTTGTATGCATCCATTTTCCACGATGAACAGTATGGGAGAAGCCAGGACTGTCTCTCTCATCAAGAACCGCTGTGAGAAGCATGGAGGAAGCCTTTATCTATAGAGCCCAAGTCTCCTGCAGAAGGCCTCTCCACCCTCCTTGACGTTCTCCACCTGAGCTAAGCTGGAGTGCCAGGGAGTTAAGAAACCCCAGCTTAAGTCTCAGCCTGTCCGTTTCTCACTCAGGCTGGGACTCCCATCTTAGGCTGTGTTTTCCCACCCCCTGAGCAGTGTATCAGCGCTCCTGGCAAGCCCAATCACCCGATGGCAGTTTAGGGTAAAATGCAGTCTAGCATCCTGTGTTTCATCTGCCCAAGCAGAGTTCACACACTCTGAGACAGAACACTGAACCACATACAAATATGTATGCTTGACCATGAAAATATTCACCAAATGTCCATGAACAACTCCAAAGCATTGCATTTTTTTTCTGTACTAATATACTTGTATCCAGATCTGAATCTAAAACAATAATTTTTACTTTGATGAGAACTAAAACAGGTTTTTAGAAAGTGCTCGTGCTGAATCTGAGTTGGGATGTATTTGCTGCATTACCAGTTACTCCAGTTTTTAACAGTTTAAACCAGGAACATCAAAACTTTTTTTAATCCCAAGATTTATGAGGGTTAAGAATCTAGGTATAGGGCCAGAGAGCGGCTTTGTGGGTGGAAGCCCTTGTTGCACAGTCCCGATGACCAGAGTTCCAGGCTCTAAACCTATGTAAAAAGTCAGGCATTGGGGCCCACATCTGTAACTTCAGCACTCCTATAGTTATTTCAGAAGCAGAAATAGGAAAATGAGCCAAAGACTCAAGTGTCAGCCAGCCTAGTGTATGCAGTACAGCAGCAGAAACAGTAAAGACAGTCCTGACTCAACAAGGTAGAAGACGACAACAAATTCCAACCTACAACCACACCGTGGCACACCTTTGCAAAGGCAGCCAGTAATAATGACTTTACTATAATAACATTCCTTTTTTTTTCTTTGTATAAAACTGTGTTTGCTCTGTATATAAAACATCTTTTGACTACCATTTTGTTTTGGTTTCCCCCATGGTATAAGAGAGAAAATGGATTTCCGTCTTTTGGTCACTAATAACTCCGTGCTGGGAGCTGTTGATTATGATACATAACTTGGAATAGATTAATGTAATCATGGCAGCTTGTTCTTATAATCAATTTCTAAGATCAACCAAAGATTTAAGGAATAAGTAACACTCAGCTTACATGAGATCTCTCAGAGAAGGGAGGAAAGGGTGATGACTCTAAAATAAAACTTTCATACCAAGTCTTAATAAGAACTTCCAAATAAGAGGAATACTAAAAGTTTACTACCATATGTAGAGACACAGAAACCATCTAAAACTACTAAATTAGATGTTTCTTCTTGTTGTCTTCTTCTTCTTCTTCTTCTTCTTCTTCTTCTTCTTCTTCTTCTTCTTCTTCTTCTCCTTCTTCTTCTTCTTCTGCTTCTTCTTCTCCTTCTCCTCCTCCTCCTCCTTCTTCTTCTCCCTTCTCCTCCTCCTCTCCTTCTTCCTCTTCCTTTTCTTCTTTTCTTCCTCCTCCTTCCTTCTCCTTCTCCTTTTCTCCTTCTCCTTCTCCTTCTTATTTTTATTCATATTCTCCCTTCTTCTCCCCCTCCTCTCCTTCTTCCTCTTCCTCTTCCTTTTCTTCTTTTTTCCTCCTCCTCCTCCTCCTCCTCTTCCTCCTCCTCCTCTTCCTCCTCCTCCTCCTCCTTCTCTTCCCAAAGTCCTATATCATAGGCTGGCCTCTAACTTACTATTTAGCTGAGGATGACTTTTGAGGATGACTGTCTTGCTGATGGCTTGCCTAAGTGATGAGACTATACGGCTGTGCCCCTACTCAGGGTTTATGTGGTACTGAGGATTGAGTTCCAGAATGGTGCAGGCATACTAGACAAGTACTCAACTGGCTGAATTACATACTCAGCTGTTGAAGTAATTATTTAAAATGGCAGATAGTCAAGCCCACTATCTAACCTGCGGCAGCTCTGCCTAGCTCAGACACCATGTTCCAAAGACAGAGGCCACATGCATGATGCAGCTAGAAACAGCCAGCCAGAAACACCAGCCCTGCCACCCATGAGATACTAGCATGGGAGATGGCTCTGCCAATCTTCCACGCTGTTTCCGCAAGGCTGGGCATTGCCCAGACCATCCCTCCATTCATGCAGGCCCGGTAGGAAAATGAGACTCTAATGCTTAAATATTAATCAAAGGTTTTATATATTTAGTAATGCTTAATAACAATATGCCCATACAATTAGAGTTGTTTCCCAATTAGCTAACCTAAATATAAGTTGTTACCTGTGGCTACTCTCCATACCTGCGTGGCTCTCCATCCTCCTACAATCTCTGCCCTCTCTAGCTCCCCGTCTTCCTTTACCTCTTCCTCTCTTTACTCCTCCCACCTTAGCTCCTCCTACACTCAGCTACAAATTAGTTCTTGGAAATGTAAATCTGACATTATGTCAGACGCACTGCACTAACTATGGTATGTACTACAATATGTCAAATATAATTTGACAGTGTAAAATCAATGTGCTTATCATCGTAAACTAAGCAGAGAAGAAAAGTTATGTAATAATTTTGGTAGACACAAAAAGTATATTTTATAAGCTTTAACACTTAGTCATGACACACACACTAACTTTAGAAAAGTAGCAATAGTGGAATCTCCTAATCCAAACAGGAATGTGTTTTTAAAATGTGTGGCAAGCATTGAATTGAACAGCAAAGTTGACCCTTTCCTCCAATTACAATTAGCGTCTTTATTTGATATTGTTCTGAGTGTTCTTTGTAGTATGATAAACAAATAACATGAAAAATGTTAAATAATGTTAAGGAAAGAAATAAAATTGTCATTATTGACATTTTTATGCTAAAGAATCCACAGATAACTTGACAAATTTAAAGAAATAAGACTAGCAAGGCTGGTTCATACAAGGTCAATATGGAAAAATCAATTTTATTTCTATTCGCTCACAAACATTTAAAAATTTAATGGATCATTTTCATTTTATGTGCACTGATGTTTTGGCTGAATGTGTGACTGGGTAAGGATGCCAGGTTCCCTAGAGCTGGACCTACAAACACTTATAAGCTGCAGGGAATTGAACCTGGGTCCTCTGAAAGAGCAGCCAGTGCTCTTAACCACTGGGCCATCTCTCTAGCTCCTTACAAATGTTTTTAAAACAGCATTTCAAATGCAATTGAAATATGAGGGACACGCATTCCACATAGGATACTAAAAACTGTACCAAGAAAAAATGTTAAGAGATATAAAAAGAAACATGTATTTGTAAAGATGTCAGCTCTCCAAAATCACTCTAATATTCAGTGTAATCTCAATTAAAATCCAAACTGTGTTAAAAAAAATGTATCTAGAACAGCAAAGGACAACTTGGAAAAGAACAGTCATGACTTAACTGCACATGTGCAAGGTTTGTTTATTCTAAAGTCAGGATAGATAAGCCTACGAGATATTTGCCCAAGAACAAAAAAATAAAGAACAGAATTTAACAAGTCCAGAAACAGACTCATGTGTGTCAGCACTGGATTTATGACAAAGGTGGCACTTAGACTGAAGGGAAAAAGTGACTCCAGCCAGTGACACATGAAGCAGGACAGCCTCCTAAGTCACCCAGCTGACTACCTGAGTCAGGACAATATATTACTTTTGTTCTGAGCACACTTTAAAAATATTTATTTATTTATTTATTTATTTATTTATTTAATATATGAGTACACTGTAGCTGTCTTCAGACACAACAGAAGAGGGCATCGGATCCTTTTAATGGATGCTTGTGAGCCACTGTGTGGTTGCTGGGAATTGAACTCAGGATCTCTGGAAGTGTAGTCAGTGTTATCAACTGCTGAGCCATCTCTCCAGCCCCCTCAAGGGGGCTCAAGCCCCCTTTTTTTTTGGTAGTTTGTTATTCAGAATTAACAAAAACCAATATACCTGGAAGTGTATTCACAGCGTTGGCGCTGGGTCCAGGGTGATAGAGAAAAGTAGCAGGTGAATTACTAAGACAGGATTAGAAGGAGAATTGTGTTATGAGCACTGAAAAGTTGAATGAAGCTGTTGCCTGTGTTGCTATGACTGACACATGTGTAACAGTGAACATATGACTGACACGCATGTAACAGTGAACATATAGGATACCCAGAGAGGCTCCAAGCAGAATATACAAACTGCTGATGGTTTAACTTCTTTAGTTACATATAATAAAGTCCAGAGAGGTAGCCAGCACCGACATGAAAGATCTGCTTAGTTTGGGAATGGACTATCTACTACAGTTTCCAGCAGGCAATAAATAGAGTCTCAAGTAACAGCCTTTGGACAAAAATCAAACAGAGCATATGACCATGAGAATCCATGAAAACAAAGATTTAGGGTAATACTGGGTAGACCCTCACATTTAGCAAGTAAAAAGAAATTCTTTTTCTATGTATTTCTATGTATATCTATTTATTATATGTGTGTGTGT